TAACTGGAACACTAGTTGGAATTCTTTACCATGGTAATACTTTTGTTCCTTCAGTTAGCCTACTGATACAGATGCAATTGGAAATCAACTCTTATGGACAACTTACCGGCATAATCGTTATCCGATTTCATAATTTAAACCAAAACTAATACCAATATTAACATTTCTACAATATTCATTATTTTAATATTTCTAAACACAAAATAATTACTACCTATAAGTTAAGTTATTAACACGCATCGTTTTATTATTATTATTATTGTAACCCCATTTTTTTTTATAGCTTAAATAATCTTCACCCAGATTTTCATTTCAAGCGTTTTAAACATGAAGGCAGATATTTTAAAATTATTACATGTATTTCCCGACCAGATGCTGCCGCTTTCTTTTTGATTTATCTTTCAGCTTACCAATACCCGGAGGATTCTTATTATCCTTGGTAACCTCCGGCGCGCGACGATCCCATCCAATTTGGTATCGAACCAACATCACGTTGATTCTGGTGGGAGAGTAGTGTAGTGGCATTGGACAATAGCCACACAATCCACAAAGCTGTGAACACGAGACTACTCAGAAAATAGATATTCAATATTTAACGCGGAGAAATACCTAACAATGGAGAAGGCGCGAACAATGAGTTGAATGGACTGGAGTTGATCGAGTGGCATGGCTCGGCCATGCAGGCGTGGTCCCTGCTGGATATTATCCTATATCTCTATTCATATTAAATATATTGTTCTTTCTCTAACCCAACCTCGTTCTTCATCATGTATTGGTAATTGATACGATACAGTGAGTTGGTGTAGTCAATGGTGTGACTTCCACGTAAGATCTTATAGATTAGGCAGTTATATCATGACGAATCTACAATTTTGGGATTAGGTCTATTATTAGAGCAGTACTAATATCGTAGTAGACCATAATTCTACAAATACTTAGATTTATGCAACATTTTATGTACCGAACCTAATAATTTGCCTTAGTTAACCATATTAAATGAGATGTAACTATTTCATATTGCCAGAAAACTGACATGACTCATATAACTTACCGTTAGTTGATAAAAAAATATTGTCGTCTTCTTAAGAACTAAAAATGGACAAATTAATATGATACTTGTCAATACATTTACGTTGAATAAAGTCAAACTTGGTCCTTCCTTAGTAACCTCAATTCCTAATTTAATGTGGATGGCATTTAGGCTTGCTTGCTGAATTGATAATCATCAGCTACACTCGCTGTGTAAGGATAAAACAAACTTTGCTAAAACGTTGCACATGTTTATACTGAACTCAGTCACCAAAAACACTTCTACCTACAAATCGGGAGTGAAATGCAGCGTGCTTAGCTCAAGGAATGTATTTATAGAGACTGAAAAATTCCCTGAACCGTACCTCACACATTGCATAAGACGGTAGGTTTACACAGATTTTCATGTAATACCTCTAGAAAAAGTAATGAACGTCTCGGTTGAGAACGCAGTTTAAAATGACCATGAATGACATATTTTTGATGAAAAATCAGGGCTGTGTGGGATTAGAGGAGCTTTAAAAACGATGGAAACAGAAACGATATAGAAAAAGGACGTAGTTATTACATTTGAAGATGTTTAGAATTATTGTTTGTGTGGGTATTAATGAATTTATCTATGCTACTAGAATAATAAACTCATTCATTAATTGTAAATTTGTTGTGATGTGACTACCTGATGACGTTAAATGCTTTTCTTTGGAGACTAAACCTCAGTTTTATGGATTCTGGTGATCTGGAGAAATTCATGATCAGATACATCTAGTTCTTCTTTAGAGCAATTTAAGAATGAAACGGGAACCTCTGGCACGTATTAGGGAAGACTAGATAAGAAGTGTTTTCTAGAGAGATCAATGAACGTCCGCCTACCTAGCAACATTTCTGTTGCTAAGCCATTTTACGACTGTGTTTTATGGAACAGACTGTCTAACATTTTTCGATCATTTAGTTCTCTCAGTTTAACGATAGTCCATTTTAAAATGTTTTAAGATTCGGAAACATCACTAAAAAGCATACCAGGAGTAATCTAACTGTTGAAGTTGGGCAACAGTGCCTTCACTACTGCGAGAATGTGCGCACTAAGGTCTATCACTCTGTGTTTGTGGAAGTCAAGTTCTGCGTAACAGAACCAAGTTTCGATATTATCGGGCTGGATTGACATGAGCTGACATTTGGTGGCGAAGCATATCAATCTTCAACAGTTCGGTTATCTTTTCCAAAGTAATGACGGCAATATATACTGATGTGTGAGAGGAAAAGTCTGAGAACATAAAAGTAATAATGCCTCAGAAAAAAACTAAAGACATGATAGAACAACACATATAAGCGAACAATATTGTTTTCAATTAGATCGTCATCAGGCTTTACTCTAACATACATGAATGTTTATACGAAAATGTAAACCAATCAAGGCAATATTGGTCAATAATCACAATGAAATAGAATAAGTCTCTACATATAATCGGTTAAAGTACAAGTTTATAGTAGGAAGACAGGTGAACTGATAATAGTAAGAATAATAAAATACAATAACAAAACTCTTATCAATAGTAAAACGTTGGAAACAGAAGGCCAAACATGGGTAAATAGACTAGGAATAGTAATCACAAAACATTAAAATCATTACGTAATAAGATGTGTGTAAATAATTAGGTAGTGAAGAATACAAAGAGGCGGAAAATTACAAACAAATAATGGATGTGGAAATAAGATTAATGATAACAAAATAGAATAAAATAAATGATGATAATAATAAAATTTTAAAAAATATCGTTAGTTAAGTTATAACTGGCCATGGAAGGAATAGGGGGGTTATGTATTTCATCTGTATACATAAATTGGGGTTATATGTACGAACTCCAATGGCTTCAGCTATATGTAGGAGGCGGGAACGAACTCCGTCGAGAAATGATGGAGGTATACGATAGATAACTCGAAATGATTTCGATTTATCTACAGCATGACCGCTATCAATGAGATGTGCCAAGACAGAACTGCGAATAGATGTTATCTGGCCCTTTATGTACCAAGTTGGTAGATGTTCACTCATTCGTTGGTTAAGCTGTCTGGTAGTACGCCCCATATATTTAGGTTTAGTTTAACCAGTCGAGCGACATACAGAAGCTTTTATGTCTAGGAATCAGCCTAGTTGCAGTCCTTCAGACATTTGCCAAACGCTCACCGAGTCTTTTTGGCAGAGTCTAGTCGGTTGTGTGGAGTGCCCGAATGTAGGATTGATCATAAAATTCTGAAACGACCAACGGCTATCGCAGGGCAGTGTTTAACAGTCTTTAAGTCATGAATAACGATGACTCCAATATCATTGTTTGTCTGGACAACAGGTCGCTCAGTGTTATTCACCATGTGTGTATCGGCACCCTGATAACCAGTATGCCTCATAGTATACTTGGAAGCATTTATCGGTAACTGAACATTTCTAGACCATTCAAACAACATTCCTGGTCAATTTTAAAGATCTAAACTATCACATTTACTTTTTTATCGCCCTCTATATCTTGATATTATCAGAATATATCAAAATTTATGATGATAGGAGACTAGGAAGATCACTTACATACAGGAGAAAAAACACTGGTTTTGATAGAGTTTTGTTCTCTGAGCTGGATAATTACGTCTTGGAGATTTCATCGTTCTTCTGAACGACATCATCAGCACAAACTTCAGATAGAGTTGAATTGTTCGAACTTCTCCACATGTGTTTCACGGCTTGTCCTGTACACCTTGATGTTTATTGGTTCGTGGTGACCTTAAACTTGACCTTATGTTGCATCGAAATCATCCACCTGAGCTACAAATCTTCTATACCATCTACAAACAACACTGGCACCAATACTAATCCTGAAGTACTTTGATAAGCACACTTTCCCACACTTTCCCAACGTGACAGTTATTCATGATCCGCCCAGTTGTCCAGAAATGTCAAATTCCGAAACATTCCCTGTCGTGGGTTCAAATCCCACTGTTCCTGAAACGTGTACAGACAGTGATGTACCCAGCTCACAGGAAGATCTCTCATTAAATGCTCATGAATTAATTACAGTACCCGCCCACAACGGAACAGGAAACAAATCGTGCAGTGCACTGAATCCAGCTGTTTCAAATGGTCTTCATCATTCAACAACAGGAGATTCTGACGAAGCTTATTATCTAGATCCTCTTGTACCAGAAAATGTGTTAGATGCATCAAATGATGATCAGAAATCTAATGCAATTTTGATAGATGTTGATTGTCTCAGTGATCAACTGTTTACAAATGAGATTTTCAACAAATCCCATGATAATGTTCCAGAAGAATCAAACGACATTGATCCCCACTATTTAATCACTTTCAGTGACTTCTCTGTTCAATCTGACAATTATGTGTCAAATAAAGTCAAATTAATTCTAACTTGGGAATATGAGGACCCAACATTATCTCGCAGTGCACCTGGAAGCAGTCCTTCAATAAAACGGGAGTGTGTAATTTCTTCTCGCCCCAAGATGTCCAGGCTACTTGCAGGCAGGAGCAATCTGAAGCACAACACAACAGTCAGGACTGGCGGATGCCACTCAGGTGAGAACACGGCGTGCGAGCACAACAGAGATATATTAGAAATCGAATTACGCGGTGTTTGTACAAAAATAGTTTTACTCATCATCCAACAGGTTTAGTTTGCGCAAGCTTTGTTGTTCTTCTTCTTCTAATACGTTCACTTTCTGTTGTCCTGCAATAAGGAAAACAAACTTGCATTAGTAAAGTTACACGTAATGATTTTTGATACTGTTACTCCGTTTGAAAATGTAGCCTTTATAAATGTTCTGTTACTTGGATAATAAAAATATGTTACTCCGATAGCTGTCAGCACGATCATCATGAGGTCATCTCAAGATAGATTTGATTATAAAATGTCAAAGTTCCATTCATACTGAATGAAGCAATAAGTAAGATGTTTTTCTGTCTCACAATCCAAGGACAAAATGAGCGCGAAGTCGAACGGTCCTGTATTACTTGTTGGAGCTGGTGGTATCGGGTGCGAGCTGTTGAAGAATTTAGTTTATAATGGATTCAATGACATAACAATTGTATGACACAACATTCCGTCATTGTTTGCGGTTTTTAGGTAGACCTTGATACCATCGATGTAAGCAACTTAAACAGACAATTCCTGTTCAGTAAGAAGCATGTTGGGCGTTCAAAAGCAGAAGTTTGTGGCTGATTTTAGTATAATCTCTGACTCAGACTGCCAGGGACAATGTTTTGGAATTTAAACCAACCGCTCATATTGTTGCTTATCACAAAAGTATATTCAGGTAATTTTTATTATTGAAATTTCTCATTTAATACTAGCTCGTCATTCGACTCTGAATTCTTCGGAAAGTTTGCTGTTGTTTTTAACGCTTTAGATAATCTTGGTAAGTAGTGAAGGTGTTCGTTTATGCTGTTTAAACTAGCATTAACTTCAAAACTTCAAATCTTTCTTGTCATGTGTACACTAAATTGTTTTTTTGTTTTTTATGCCGCGTTATAGCAGCGTAGTTCCTCCTACTTTTTATAGGTAAACTGAAAAGTTTAATTTCGACGAGTGTCTGTATTGAACTTTTAAATGCATCGATTAAATTGATGCATATTTGGAATACTATCAATTGTAAATAATAAACAGCCTCACTACAAATAAAAGTACTTTTACAAGACTGGCAGGACCCAGGTCCTGCACTCACACCAAGTAGTCAGCGGATAGAAGAGGTAAAGAAGTTCGTGTATCTAGGTAGCTGCATAAGTGCTGGTGGTGGCGTGAGTGATGAGATCAATGCACGTATAGTGAAAGCCAGAGCGGCTTATGCCAATCTGGGCCATCTTTGGCGCCTTCGTGATGTCAGTTTGGCTGTAAAAGGTCGAATCTACAACGCGTCAGTGAGAGCAGTTCTGCTCTATGCTTGTGAAACCTGACCTCCGAGTTAAGGATGTTAGACGACTCTGTGTGCTTGATCATCATTGTCTCCGAAGGATCACTGACGTCCAATGGAAACACCATATTAGTGATGCAGACGTTCGGCATCATGTGTTCGGGCATAATGACGTTGTGGCATGAGAAAGCTATACAGGACTGGCTTCTGTTAAACTTTCACGGCTCGGTGGTTTTAGTCCTAGAGATGGTGCAACACAATGGCTTGAGACGTTACTAGATATGGCTCAGAATAGAAGCCTGTTACGATCCTACTGTAACTCTCTTACTTCATAAAAGTGAACGTAACTTCCTTAACTGAAAGAATTCTTTGTGTTTGTATTTTGGCTAACTGAACTGTTTTTTCCATTATTATTATTCTCTCATGCACAAATTCTGTTCGTTGCTGTACTTCTTTTCATTATACACACTGCATTATCTTTCTCTTCACAACTTCATTGTTATTGCATAGTGCATATGTATTTTGGTGCCTCCTTGTATCAATATTTGTGTTCAAACAAATAAATAATGACACTGCTTTTCATCTTGGATGAAGCATGTAATGAAATGTCAGTTTGCCGTTAGAGGTTAATGCAACTCGTAGTAGACGTCAATGAATCAGATTCATCTGTCGCACTTCCTATCTAAATCGTGAACTTCGTTCTGTTCATTTTTTCTCCGTTTTTTAGTTTCGTGCGCGTACAAATTGGTGGTTATTCTGTTGTTTCATACCACTGTTGAGAGTAATGTTTTTATTCCATTATTCCCCTTTTAATGACTTTATTCTTCATGTTTATGGAAAGTGACAAACTTGAAATACCATGTATATATTCTAGCGTTTAGACTAATGATACACCCCTGCATATTAGACAGGTAACAATATGTAGATGTGATTAATTCATTTACCAGGTACCTGGAAATGAGCCACACTTAATGAAGAGACTAATGATGCTACTCACTTACTCAAATCGAAGGTGGACTGAGGTTCGAACCTTGGATTTAGTTGCTAAAATTTGGATACCTTAACTGTCAAACAGCTACACTTTAGTGAGTGATATAAATAGGGTATATTGGAAATTCAACGTTTGATTTGATGAGAATGTGTTTTGATTCAACTTCAGGGAAAAGTGCTAATGACATGAGAAAGACCTCATCAGTCAGTTTCAGGTTCACATACTCGGTTTCATGCTATAATTTGTGGAAGGGCTAGTTCAATATTCGGTTATCCATATTCAGGTAAGTTTAAGGTAGAAAGGTCCAATGGATGAGCAGAACTAAAATGCATTAACCATTAATTGTAGTACATAAGGAAAAATCAAATTATAGGGTACTGAGATTAACCAGTCAGTCTTATTTTCGGAACATCTGTGTAGAGTTGTATGGTTGTTATCTAGATGCAGTCAGTCAGTCAGTCAGTAACAACGTAGAACTTCGTACGTACGTACATCAGTTCGAGTTGCCACACCACATTAGCACAGAGATGCAGTTGTCGATTCAAATCCCGTAGTGGTACAGGTAGCAAGAGTATAAGCAGTAATCGGAAACATTAGGGTTTGGAGATGTTATTTAAAGAGTATAATCCAGTGAAATAAATTTGGGAGGAGAAAAAAGAGACAAGGAGGAATCAGGAGATCAAAATTTGAGAGAACACAAAGGGTGGATGCACCTGCGCCATTGCAAACGATTTTGAGCCATGTCATTCAGGGTCTCTAACCATCGGTTGCTGTCATCTCGCGGTCCCCAACCAGGTAGTCTACACCTACCAACATGACTCAGTCCACTTGTCAGTGACTTCATGGACTTGAGCCATGTTTTGGTTTGGCCGTCCCTAGCTTTCTTCCAACCTACTCCTATACCACTGAACATAGCACGTCGAGGCAGTCGGTCGTTGGCCATACGTAACACGTGTCCCAGCCATCTCAACTGATGAAGTTTCACTACGTCATCAATTGATTTGCCATCTTTACCTAGTACCCGTTTCCTAACAACTGTGTTACTTACTCGATGGTCCCATGATATACGAGCAATGTTTCGAAGACACCTATGATCGAATACTAGTAACCTACGGATATCCTCTACTCTTACCGGCCATGTTTCACTGCCATAAAGTAGGGCGGAACGAACTGCTGCGCAGTAAACACGTCCTTTGGTTGATAGACGGATATCTCGCCTACGCCATAAATGACGCAAGTTGGCAAAAGCTAGTCGAGCCTTCTGTATCCGTGCTGAGATTTCGTCACACACTAAACCACAAGGGCTGATGAGACTTCCAAGATAAGTGAAGCGGTCGACACACTCAACTACTTCACTCCCTATCACCAGTTCGGGTGTCGATGTAACCCAATCCTGAAGCAACATTTTGCATTTCGAGGGAGAGAATCGCATCCCGAACATGCTTGCATTGTTGCTTAGAGTGGTCAGAAGACTCTGCATTTTGTCAGCGTCTTCACCAAATAAAACTATGTCATCTGCATATTCTAAGTCAACAAGTGAACCTCCCGGTAGAAGTTCAACCCCTGGAAATTTAGATGAGGAGAGTGTTATCTCTAAAAGTACGTCGACCACAAAGTTGAAGAAGAATGGGGAGAGTGGACAGCCCTGACGAACACCACTTGAGGTAATCAATTCTGATGACAGTTCGCCATAAGCTCTCACTGTACCAGTTGTGTTCGAGTAGAGAGCCTTTATAAGGTTAATGCACTTCTTTGGTACTCCTTTCAGTGACAAACACTGCCATAGAACTTCACGATCAACGGAGTCGAATGCCGCCTTAAGGTCGAGAAATACTACCATTGTGGGGCGTCTGAATGTGTGTCTGTGTTCTAGAACCTGACGTAGTGTGAATATCTGATCTATACAACCACGTCCAGGTCGAAAACCAGCCTGGTTTTCTCTAGTCTGCTCTTCACGAGCTTTAGTTAGGCGTCGAAGTATTATTGAGGCCAATATTTTAGACACTATATTAGTCAAACTGATTCCTCTGTGATTGTCACAAGAGGACTTTTGTCCTTTCTTAAAAACTGGCACAATCAGTGATTGAGACCAGTCAGATGGGATTACGTCCAGTTCCCAAATTCTACCTAAGACCTCAGTTAATCTTGCTGCTAATACTGGACCACCATCCTTAAAAATCTCAGGAGTAAACCTGTCAGGGCCTGCTGCTCTCCCTTGTTTCAGATTTCCTATGGCTTTTTCAACTTCGTAAAGGGACGGAGGACTTACATTAACTTGCCATTCAGGTTGACTGGAGATCGTGGGAAACCGAAGTGTGGCTGAAGGCCAGTTGAACTGATCCCTAAAGTGTTCTGCCCATCGATCCAATCTCCTGGATTGAGAATGAATAATATGTCCATCTTTCTCTGAGATTGTTTCGCTAACGGTCGGGTTCCTAATTCCGGTTTCCTTAATGAGTCTAAACAATTGTCTGCTATTACCTATTGCCGCTGCCTTTTCCATCTCTCTTGCTTTCGCTACCCACCACTGTTCGCGATCATTGCGTAGACTTCTTGTCAGCTTGCGCTTAAGCTGACTCCGCTCTTCATTATGTTCAGAGCCAGGTGGAATGAGTTTTCGAGCATCTATCAGTGCGATAGATGTTGCTGAGATCCAGTGTTGCTCCCTAACTTTACGGTTTACCTTACTAGCAGATATCACTGCTGTTTCCACAGCTTTTCGGATATCGTTCCATGCTGCCTCGGGGTGGGCATCACATACATGGCTGCCTAACTGTTTTCCTAGTTGTTCCTGAAATATATTCTTAGCTTGACTATCATTAAGTAGGGCCCTAAGAGGTTTCCTTGCAGGATCTTTCCTACGTCCAGTAAGACGCAAGCAAATACGCGCTCGCACTAGAGCATGATCTGAATCTAGGCATGTGATCCAGAATGAGCGACAGTCTTCTATCGAGCCCCTCCATCGGTGGCTGATAGCGATGTGATCTATTTGGGTCCAACGTTGGGACGAATTAGGGGGTCGCCATGTTAAGAGATGTTTTTCCTTATGCTTAAAGTTAGTATTTGCAAGGAACAGGCGGTTATCTGAGCATAGATGCAACAGACGGTCGCCATTATCTGTTCTTTGAGCCACGACACCATAGGATCCACCTAGGTGTCTTTCCTTATCGCTTAGTTTACCTACTTGAGCATTAAAGTCACCGGCCACTATTACTACATCCGAGCGCTTAGCTTTTCGGAGAAGGTCCGAAAGCTTTCTGTAAAACTCATCTTTTACATCATCTGAGCTGCAGTCAGTGGGAGAATAGGCAGAGACGACGAAGAGGCAACGACGAGTGTCCCTATCTTTCCGGATTCTTACTGTTCCGTTCAGTCGGACAGCGCACAAACGACTGTTTACTGGGATCCACTCTAAGAGAGCTAGTTCTGCCCTAGGACTCAATGCTATACCTACGCCGGCGAGGCCACGGGAAGCAGAATCAGGGCTTCCAGATACACGAAGCGTAAATCGAGTCGGTTCTTTATTTTGGCATGGTGAGGTCAAATGAATGACGCTACTCGGATCCTGTATGCGCGTTTCGGAGACGCAGCACACATCGATGGCGCGAGATTCTAAAGTCCTAGCTAAGGAAGCCTGCTGTCCTATTTGGCACAGTGTTCGTACGTTACAAGCTCCTACGTGTAGTTTAGAGTGTGGTTTCAGGAGACCAGGAATGGCGTTCCGCGTACTCGAATCGTTTGCCCTAGCGGTGCGAGGTGATAAAGAGACGTGAGGAGGGTTAGTCGGGGAGATAAGAGAGGTATTAGGAGGTGTAGGAAGGATTTGAATGTGACCACCTTGGTCTCTTGTGCTGTCACGGGTATGAGGGCTGATGTCACTTCCCGAATGCCCACACCGTGGAAGGGTATTTCTTGATGAACCTGAAAAGGAAATTGGATTAGTGTTGGTCTTGACGACCTGGGAGCGTGACCGCAGAGCCCAAGGGACAACTGCTTGAGGCCGGTCGCGCACGGCCATTTTGTGGAAGGTTTTTGACGTGTTAGCTCCGTTCTTCAAGGGGCCTTACCGCCGGAGACGGAAATCCGTGAGGTAAGGTGAGGTGTGCATTTTTAGGGTCGACCTTTTCTAACCCCACCCCTCCTTGTGGGAAGGCAGCATCGCTGTCATGCTGGTTGTCCGAGGGAAACACCTTACTGCTATCACACCTCTCTACAGTCAGCAGTACGACTTCGCCCTCAGACCTTGAGTTGCTGCTTTTAGTCTTACCGTTCGCCAATCGACCTGCCTGGCATGGTAGAACCTGCAGGAACATATGTTCCAGCCAATATAGCTCGGTTGGGTCATCACGATAGGCAAGCCCGACCACCGCGTCAAGGTAGCAGCTTCGATCGGTAATGAAATAATTATAATTTGTCATGACGGTATTAAAACTTCATTAAATCAGTTAAAAATCAACCACAAAGACTAAAATGTGTATTAAACTACTCTAATTCATAGTATTTCAGATTAACTAGGAGTGTTTGATATTACCTCTGTCGATGAAACGATCATCTCTGTACTTTTTATGACAGAAGCCTGTTTATAACGTATATTTGCTTTTCTTGGTGTGCACTTAGTTGCGAAAGTTTCTGTATACATATAATTAGTATGGGCCATTTTTTGACATGTGTAAAATTGCTCACACAGTCTTGACTACCATGTGTCATTCTTAATCCTGTTAATTATAATTTCTAACAGTTGGCAAACAAAATTATCAGTTATTTTTTTTACATATAATAACAAAGTTCAAAACTCCCACTCTATGTACTTTGGTTTAGTTAGCCAAATAGTATTATCTCCCCTACTTTGAGTATAACTCATATCCAAGTAGCTGGGGAATGATTTGCTAAGTTTTAATTAACAACAAAGAAATGGACTTGGTCACACAATTCAGGTTCTGTCAAATACTTTTAGCTTCAAACACACATATTGACGCCTAAGAACTATAGTTTTGAAACATGGCCGGTAAGAGTAAAGGATATTCGTAGGTTACTAGTATTTGATCACAGGTGTCTTTGAAACGTTGCTCGTATATCCTGGGACCATTAAATAAGTAACGCAGTTGTTAGGAAACGGGTAGTAGGTAAAGATGGCAAACCAATTAATGACGTAGTGAAACTTCATCAGTTGAGATGGCTGGGGCACGTGTTACGTATGCCCAACGACCGACTGCCTCGACATGCGATGTTCAATGGTATAGGAGTAGGTTGGAAGAAAGCTAGGGGCGGCCAGAACAAAACATGTCACAAATCCATGAAGTCACTGACAAGTGGACTGAGTCATGTTGTTAGGTGTAGACTACCTGGTTGGGGACCACGAGATGATAGCAACCGATGGTTAGAGACCCTGAATGACATGGCTCAAAATCGTTTGCAATGGCGCAGGTGCATCCACTCTTTGTGTTCTCCCAAATTTTGATCTCCTGATTCCTCCTTGTCTCTTTTTTCTCTTCCCAAATTTATTTCACTGGATTATACTCTTTAAATAACATCTCCAAACCCTAATGTTTCCGATTACTGCTTATACTCTTGCTACCTGTACCACTACGGGATTTGAATCGACCCCTGCATCTCTGTGCTAATGTGGTGTGGCAACTCGAACTGATGTACGTACGTACGAAGTTCTACGTTGTTACTGACTGACTGAATTTCACTACTGACCTTAAAAACAGTTATGGTATTCGTACATTATCCAGCTAGTTTGAACCAACACTAGAAGTAATTTTAATAAAAATCATCTAAGTCCATTGAAATAGTTTTCGTGGTGTCGCATTCTTTATGCTGGACAGCTCCAGTACTTCATCCATATACTAATTCGTAATTAATTATTCAGGAAATTTGTAGTTTTTGCTTGTCGTTTCTTTACTATAATTAACTATTTTAAAATATTCAAATTAGATAATGTCTTAAAGTTTTTAAGCTTTAAGCTTTTACTATTTCCTTTGACTTAAGTATGATATGTAGGTTCACATAAATTACCTCTTCAATGTTCTCATATCCCGTCAGTTTATTTCGTATTTTTTGTCCCATCCACTTTTTCCTCGTTATAATTAAAAAAAGCTTGTAATCACTTATACGAGGACATTATCTTTGACACCATACTGATATCAAACAAGTAAAAGGGATTTTATTAAAAATGTTCTTGAAGGGGTAGCACTTAGGACTTCTTATTATTTGTTTATAGCGTCACATTCATATTCCCGTTATTAACTTCCATACAGCTGCAAGAAAACATGTGAATCGTATGTGTATATCGGCAAAGATTCCCTTAATTGAGTCCGGCACAGCTGGTTACTTGGGACAAGTCGAGCCGTTAATTCCCGTAGTTGAAACGAGTGAATCGGAGGCCACCAACACAGAAGCGAATCAAGCGACAACCTATCGTACAGGATGTTATGAATGTCAACCTCGTGGGTTAGGTCAGCGTCACTATCCAGCCTGCACCATACGTAACACTCCATCTGAGCCAATTCATTGTGTTGTTTGGGCAAAGTATTTATTCAAGTGAGAATAACTTTAAATTTTCCTAAACTTGTATCCGATTTATACCGACAACTTTCTCTCAGTGGAAATAAATTAGTATTATCTGGACTAGTGTCTACCAGAAAATTATTATTCATTGCTTTCATCCAAAATGTATTCAACTAATAATTGAATCGTCAGTCTCTTCATGCCTACTTTTTAAGGTCACAAACCACTTATTCCAAGTTAGAAGTAGGATGAACCGCTAGATATTGTGAAAAAGTATAGCATACTAACATATTTGGGTCAATAGTTTTACTAGTAGTACTAACAAAATTACTCAACTGTTACGAATTAGACTCTTATGTCAAGTTCTTAGATTTAAAGCAGTTCTGTGAGATAACAGTGGACTTTGCCCCAAGTTCATGTGCAGTTTATTTATTTTAACACATAGATATTGGTACAAGGAGGCACCAAATGCGCCACACAAGCCTCATTTGATATGTGTGTGAGCTGTGATACTGCCAGGGTGTCCAAGCTGAAGCAGGTGGTTTTTTTAGGGAGCCACACCCGGAGCCTTCGACCTGGAGGTCTGATCCACAAGGCAGTGGAGCATCGTAAGAAGATGCAGTCCCATGGTAGCCGGTGATCAACAATTGGTTCATACGCCATTCGTTTCTTCAGGATACTGGAGCCCACGTGCACCATTTGTTTGGAATGAAGGTTTTCCAACTCCCCTAGGTGAGCCCTCTGTGTCCACCAACCCGGTTAAAGCACCGGACATCCGCTTTTCATCCTCTCAATTTCGTAAACAACACCGATGTTGTGAGAAGTCAGTGAGTAGGACTTCCCTGGCAGAGGCTATATACGCGTGGCCATGTGAGAGCATTTGGAGAGGGCGGACTCTCCCCACTTTCGTCCGTACCAGGGCATTTGGAGGCTCAAAATCAAAGTGCTATAACAGATGTGAAAATAAGAACGAAATTTAATAATATCTCTAATAGATCCTACACCTCACTGTCACATTATAACAAGCTTTTTATGTGTACCTAGTAAAGAAGGAATTAAAAAGTCGGCTTATTTTGGGTTTGTGCTGACAATCTATTTTCATTTTGGTTAGATCTTTACAAAGTAGTGATTTATCATTAATAAATGAAAGGCTTTGTGGAGATTTTTAAGTTTCAAGTTATATTTTACCAGTTGAAAAACTTTTTGAGCATCAGGAAGCACTGGATCACTTTTACCCTAATGGTCATGTAGTTATTTTTCGCGGTTCAGTTTCTATATATACTTCCGTTTAGTATATCAGACCTATTATGTAAATGAGAAGACTGAAACGAATAGGTAGATTTTAATTAATAAACTGAATTTTAATGTAGACAAATCATGGATATTTATATAATTGTCCTCCCTACACTAAATAACAGGGTGTGGTTGCAATCTTGATTAGGTGTATAAACAGCTCTCAGTAGTGTCTAACCCACCGTTTTAATTTGACTTTTTGACCTTGGATGTACTCCCTCACTTAGGAGTCCAAAATTCGGATGACATAGCTATCCGGAGTCCGTCGTAGTCTGCCAAGTCCCCAGTTAGTGTCATCTGTTATGTAAACTGACTGCAACTTGATGATTGTTTTTATGTTTTCCGTTTGCTAGTCAGTTATTTGGTCAACCTGATGTGGATGATGAAGATATCTCTCCGGATTTCACCGATCCAAGTCTCCATAACCATGATCGTAGTCAGATTAATGATGAGTTGTTGCCGGCTAAAAACGATCTTATTAATAAATCTGATGATGTGTTAAATACAGATGGTACAGCGATTGGAAATTCAGTTAAACCTAATCAAATTAGTTTAAGAGAATGGTTTCACATTCTGTGGTCTAGTAATGAAAATGACCAGTCTAATTTAGAAAATGGTAAAATTTCATCTGGTGCCATTTCACTATCTTGGAGATTATTTCATCATGATATTGTCACATTGGTTAGTATGCGTGATTTATGGGTCGACCGTCAAGATCGTCGAGAACCGAGTCCTTTGGAAAAGACTACAATGAAAGATGCATTAGGAAAATATTCAGGTGATTGGTACTTTGTTTTCATTGTGGAATTAATATTTCTTTTTCATTCGATAAAGTTTTTAGTATCCGTTTTAATCTATGTAAACATGTGTGTTGATGTCATCCAAACAGTTGAAATCCTCACTATACTACAGTAATGTTTGGAAATTTAGTGTTTAAATTTCATAAAATCTTAGAAAAAAATCAACCATCACCTTCCCAGACAAGTGATGCTTAATTTTCTAGGCGTAGTTTGGATTAAAGCTTTGGGTGACCAAACCAACATATAGCATCTGTTTCTCAAGTCATTGAATTGACCCGAGTCATATTACTAGATGCTGCTATAGGTGTGTAGCTTGACCATCATGGTTCCTTTCGATCTAGTATCTCTTCATGCATGCTTTGCCTCTCCGTCTTTTTGAACTGTATTTTAAATACTTGGCTCTTTTATATCACTACATTATTTGGATATTTTGTTATTTTAGTTTCATTATGCTAATGTGGTGTGAGAACTTGAGGAAATTCACATCTATGTCAGGCTTTATGTTGATGTATGTTTGGCCAGTGCAGACTACCTAGTGGGGGTCCTTGGGATTACTGTAACAAATGGTTGAGATGAGTCAATCGTGCGGATACATTCACTCTTCGTGTTCCTCTAGATTTTGAGTTTGAAAAATATTTAATACCTTTTATCCGACGAATTGGTTCTATCTTCTCAAATAATATTGACTATGGCATTTAAAAATACAGGATATTCGTAGGTTATTAGTATTCGGCCATGGGTGTCTTCGAAACAGCGGTGGTATATTTTGGGATCGTCAAGTTGGCAGTTCTGAGGTTAAAAGCAAAGTACTAAGTGTGGTCAGTCGATTGACAACATAGTGAATCTTTATTGATTGAGACGGTTGGGTAGTGTGTTGTATATGCACATCTACCGACTCTGTCGACGCACAATGATTTATGTAGGAATAAGTTATGAAAAAGCTAGGGATGGTCAGAGAAATTTCGTGGCATCAGTTCATGAAGATATCAACTGTTTGCGTAATCTATGTATGTAGGTGTAAATTACCTGATTGAGGTCTTCTTGATCATCGTTGCCAATCATTAGAGACTTCGAGTGACATGGTTGAAATTCGTTCTCAATGTCTCAGATGCATTCAAACTGTCTTTCTTCAAATACTAAGTTTTTCGATTCCTCATAAGTTTTATCTCACTAATTTATATTTTACTCTCGAACCGTATATTCGATGCCTAGTCTTTACTATCACCACTAATACTGTTACTATTTCTGTTACTCTAAGATTCATCATGATAATTTCATTTCGCTATGCTAAAAGGTTGTGACAACTTAAACCGATGTACACATGTGGTAGGTCCTACTTTTTAGTTATGCCTGATATAGCGTAATTCATTATTAATATCATTTTTATTCGCATAAACTGCTGTAAACTGACTTCTGTTTTTGTTCAACAAAATCTATACTTAAATCTAACCACAATATCAGATGAATTATTGGATTCAACATGTGTCAGTGAATTACGTGATCAACGGAAACTATCTACATCGGGTTGGCTTCGTATATTCATAAAATCAGTTGAAAAACTACAGAAACAAGTAGAAGATGGTGGAGGGGATAAATACTTAGTATGGGATAAGGTAATCCATAATATTATATCCTGAATATTTAGTCAAAAAATATTTTATTGATGATTTAGGTTTTGTATTCCTTGCAAACTAAGTCTCAATCAGCTAACATTTTTAAGTAAACATTTACTATCATTAGCGACCACAGATTGATATGGAGTTACTTTGTAGTTGACGTACACCTGACTTTCAATAAATAGGCAATGGGTTTGCAAACGCTTCTCTTCTCACTTCGATGTAAGTAGCCAATTAGTATCATTATTTCTGATGGCTTAAGTATAACTCAATGCCGTAATATATGATGAATGTTTGGTAAATAAGTTACATCAGCAATTACGCCATGACAACACTTTGTGATGATAGAATTGTTTATGAAGTTTTCAATAAAAACGCGTTTATGATTAAATTACTTACCTGAAGTATTACATCATAATAGTGTGTTCTGTATAAGAGACGGACGTGTAATGATAGTCGAGAAGCGCTTACTGATATTTGTCAGTCATCTTTTCACAGAACAACACCTATCCAGAAATCTAACTCAGTTCGTCAGATATATGCCAGTTTTATGCTTCCTTCTAAAGTACTACGGACTTCCATATCCATAATGTCGTAATCATCATGAAAGCTCGATACAACTAAAATTTCAATTTATAGGCCTTAAGTCACATCGTATCGTTTTTTGTGTGATATTTAATGATGGTAATACTTGGTTGTCCCAACCAAAGCTAACGAAGTGCGCTATAAACTTATTGCCTAAGCAGTTAAAAGTCAAGCGCTTAAGCACATAAGTCGTCGTTTTTAACTCATCTGTTAGTTGCACAGATTTATGATTCATTCATGCATTCACAAAAAACACGTACCATAAAATAACTATATCAATGCAATCCGCACAGTATGATGCATTTATGTCAACAAAGATTGATTAAAATTCCATCGTAAACTTCGAAAATAGGATAATTAAGCCGTTTACTACTATTGATATAAACATCATACCAGTTGAACAAGTTACGGTGGTTATATGGACTCAAAAGCTTATTGGATAATTCGTTGCATGTTTGAAACAAAAGGTACTGAATTCAAGTCCCATTTTGGTCATCAACGGTGAACTGCCTCACCAGACGACGCCCGACGTGGGGCTCGAACCCGCGATCCTGAGATCAAGAGTCTCATGCTCTACTGTGCCCCCAAATTCCCTGGTATGATCGAGAGTGGAGTGGGCCCACCCTTTCTCTCGAAATGCTCTAACACGGCCCGCGTATACAGCCTCTGCCAGGGAAGTTCTACTCACTGCCTTCTCGTGGCGGGGGTGTTGTCTACGAAATTGAGAGGACGAAAAGCAAATGTCCGGCGCTTTAACCGGATTCCAAACCAATGGTACACATGGGACCCAGTATCCTGCGGGAACAAATGGCGTATGAACCGATTGTTGGTCACCGGCTTCCATGGGACTGCATCTCCTCATGATGCTCTACCGCCTTGTGGGTTAGACCGTTAGGTCAAAGGCTCGGGGTGTGGCCTCCTAAGAAAACCATCTACTTCGGTTTGGGCACCCGGTCAGTATCACAGCCCTCACACAAATCGAATGATTTATGTGGCGTAAATCTACTTGGTGCCTCCTTGTACCAATGTTTATGTGGGCAATGTTTATATGGGCACCCGGACAGTATCACAGCCCACACACACAAATATAGTGTGGCGCATATATATTTGGTGCCCTCTTGTACCAATATTTATGAGTCGAAATAAGAAATTGGTCATCAACACAGATGGAGGTACATCCAGCTGACGGGTTCTAAATAAAATCAAACACACATCCTGGATCCCACTGATCTCCACAGTTCGTTTGTTTTAATATTGATTCATATATTCATATTACTGTTACTACTATTACTATCATTTTCAATTGTAGGATGACCCGGAAGCTATGGATTTTGTCGCCTCAGCATCAATCATTCGATCACAGTTATTTCATTTACCCGGTGCTGATCAGTTAACTAGGTTTATCATTAAATCTTTAGCTGGGAATATCATACCAGCTGTAGCATCAACAAATGCCATCGTCGCTGGTCTTATGGTACTACAAGCCAGACATATTTTATCTAAAAAGTTTGAGGTAATTCTATTATTGATTCCAATATTTCGTTTTCTTGTATATGCCTCTCTTATTTACGGTTAATCAGTGTAAGAGTAATTTCAGAAAAGGCTAGGAGAGGCCAAACGAAAACAGTTCATGAAGTCATTGATTGTTTATTTAAACCATGTCGGCTAATACCGACTACCTGGTTGAGGTCTTGGGGATAATAGCGATCAGTGGTTGAAGGCTTTGGGCGACATTGTTCAGAATTGTTCACAATGAACCAAATACATTCACTCTTTTTCTTCCTCTTAATCTTGAATTTCATTATTCCTTTATACATAGCTTTCCATTTCGTCTCTTGGAATCGTATTACCTATGTTTAATTTTTGTCATTATCATTGTTATTACAATCTTTCGATGTCTTATGCTGTTCATCTTGTTATTTTCATCTCGTCATGCTAATCCTTTTTAATAACTTGGGTCGATGCACATGTGTCAGGCTCCATGCTGATGGTGTTTGAATGACTAAGTTAGTAGATCATTATGAGAGTAGGATTTGGCACAAAAACATTAGTCGGCCAAGTTACCACATGTAATAGTAATATAATATATATTCCGAAAATAATAATTACAGTATTCATACTAGTTTACAGACATAATTAGCTTGATATAGATAGTAATATCAAATGTAAATGATAAATGGGGTATTAGATTGTTTAAAGTGTTTTAGTTCAGAAATTGTTTACGTAGTACATTTTTCACATGTATTACAGAAATGAAACGTATTAACCTAAAACTTTTAATTCTTTTTAAGTGAACATCTTTTTGGTGTATTTAGAGCCATTTCCTACTCCATAACGATTTGGTTATAATTATCTACAACTGCAGCAATTTGGAAGACTCTCCCAGTCTCTTACATTGTACGAGCATTCCATGTATCTAAATAAATGGTTGCTCTGGTTGTCAGAAGGGGCATCGGCCCTGTGACTTCCGAAGGAACTCGGCTTTCATTATGAGGCGTCATAACTCTTCTAAATGAAGACCTTCTGATTCCCAGGGCAGAGTTTAAATAGTTTGGATAATTTTTTCTGGTTAGCGTTTTTTAGCGAGTTAGTTTTCTACGGGATTGGGTCGCTAACCCCATCATCTACAATTAGAGAAAATAAAATGGAAGCACACCTACATAGAGAGAGAGATGTAACTAAGTAGATGAATAACACAAACATCAGAGTAATAATAATCTAATCAATATGATACATTTATATAATTAGCTAATTATTCACAACTCCGACTTTCATACAATAAATGGTTCTATCCTATGCAATAAAAAGTTCAAGTTTGTGTAGTTGTTTATCTTAGTTGAAACCTTGAAAGAACTAAGTTACGTTTCGTTTTATTTAAATTATATATCAATGAATTCTAATATTTATTAAACTGAGAAGTCGGTACTCCTCAAAAAAACTATGTTACGGAGCATTATATTAATTCAATGAAGATGCATTGAAAATAACGTAAACTAACTTTATACTGAATAAATTTCTTGGCTCCCAAATGTCCTGGTACGGCCGAGAGTGGGGAGAGTCCGCTCTCCCTCTCCAAATGCTCTCACATGGCCACGCGTATATAGACTCTGCCAGGGAAGTCCTACTCACTGACTTCTCACAACACCGGTGTTGTTTACCAAAATGAGAGGATGAAAAGCGAATGTTCGGCCCTCTAACCGGGTTGGTGGATACGGAGAGCCCACCTTGGGACGTTGAAAAACCATAATTCTAAACCAGTAGTACATGTGGACTCTCGGATCCTGAAGAAACAAATGGGGTATGAACCAATTTTTGGCCACTGGCTACCATGGGACTGCATCTCTTACACTGCTTCACTGTCTTGTGGGTTAGACCTTTAGGTCGAAGGCTCCGGTTGTGGCGTCCTAAGAAAACCTCCTGCTTCAGTTTGGGCATCCAAACAGTATCACAGCCCACCCACAAATCAAGTGAATTATGTAGCGCATATGTATTCGAAGAACCTTTTTACCTATGTTCAAATAAATAATAAATGAATAAAAGATAGATTGAAAGTAACGTAAATTAACTTTATACTGAATAAATCAACATACAGCAAAAGTGATTGAATGAATTTTACTTTAAATCAATGTGAATCTAAAAAAAAATTGGTTTCATTCTAAATGTAGCATTTGGAAGATTCAACATTTCTCAACATAGTGATGATAAGGAATAATTGAATTTTTAAAATATGATTTGTTAAGAAGTAATGAAATATGGGTATAAAAAGTATACAATAATATTGGAACTGACAGACCTAGGTTAAGACTAAGAATCAATGAATTTATACCATTGTGGTCAATTCTGTTCCTATGTCACCGAATTTCCATGACCTCTAAACATCTTTATATCTCAGATCCTTTCAATACAACTCTTTCCAGCAGTTAATGACATAGTAGAATGATGCTGTCCCCTTGTTTAACCGATTCTAGCCTTATTCAAACTATCCAATTTCTCTACTAAGTGATTTTTCATATTGCAGTTCTAATCTAAAAGAGTACTTTCATAGTTATGTAAGTAAAATAGTTTTTTTCTACACAACACGTGTTACGTATGCCCAACGACCGACTACCTCGACATGCGATGTTCAGTGGTATAAGAGTAGGTTGGAAGAAAGCTAGGGGCGGCCAGACCAAAACATAGCACAAGTCCATGAAGTCACTGACAAGTGGACTAAGTCATGTCGGTAGGTGTAGACTACCTGGTTGAGGATCGCGAGATGATAGCAACCGATGGTTAGAGACCCTGAATGACATGGCTCAAAATCGTTTGCAATGGCACAGGTGCATACACTCTTTGTGTTCTCCCAAATTTTAATCTCCTGATTCCTCCTTATTTCTTTTTTCTCTTCCCAAATTTATTTCACTGTATTAAACTCTTTAAGTAACATCTCCAAACCCTAATCTTCCCGATTACTGCTTATACTCTTACTACCTCTACCACTGTGGGGTTTGAATCGACCACTGCATCTCTGTGCTGATGTGGTGTGGCAACTCGAACTGATGTACGTATGTTCGAAGTTCTACGTTGTTACTTACTTACTGACTGACACAACTAATTTAACCCCATTTTTCCTGTTTCGAAATATGGGCAACAGAGTAATTAAACTCATGTACATTTTACTTTAAGAAAAAAACAATCCAACAAGTAAGCGTCGCCAATACATTTTGAATGGCCACGAAGACATTTTTCATTATCATGCTATCAGATGGAATTTCTACTGTTTGATATTTATCTTATCGTTTATTGCTCTATGTTACTAATTGCATTCTAATTAGTAGTATCTTGTTGGAGCTTTTGTCAACGATGACAGTCTTTCACCAATTTACAGGTGGTGAAATAATTTTAGTATATTTTATTGTACTTGTTAAGAATTGTGTTTGTTACTGTATATGCAGTATAATCTGTTGTACATTGACTGTCATTGTGCAACATTTCGCGTTTGTTATTGTGGTGATCCAATACATAAAACACTGTAATAACTGGTTTTATATTTCATTCAGTAAGTTGTTAACAAAAGAGGTTTCTTTCCACTTTATTTTTATTTTTTCCTCTAGCGTATTCGTTCTGTTTACATACATCGTCGACCAACTGGTCGACGTGGGAATCATCGTCTTGTAGTCCCTGTTGAACCAGCACTACCGAATCCATCTTGTTTAGTGTGTAGTGATTCTGTTAGAAATTCTCAACTGCATTTACTCTGTGCACCTGAATTATTAACATTGCGTATTCTGCGTGATCGTATCTTGGTACGACATTTAGGCATGCTTGCTCCAGATGTCGAGGTACCTGATCGTGGCATTATACTAATATCAAGTGATGAAGATGAAACAGATGAAGGTTAGTTTACCTCTTCTCTCCAATACCATTTGAGTAATTGATCTAATTTCTCTCTCAGTAAATTTACTACACGTATATGTATCCAGCTTTAAGTAATTCGTATCATTGTAAAAAAATGATTCGAGATTATTTATTTATTTATTTGAACACATAAATATTGGTACAAGAATGCGCCACACAAAACAATGAGAATTTAAGGGGAAGGAAAAAAGAAGAGAGAGAATAACAACGAAGAGATTGATGTAAGGTGGTGTAATAATAATAATAGTAAAAATGGGGGAACGGAAAGGTACAATCAGAAGAAATCTTTCAGTTAAGGAAGACACAACCACTTTTTTTATGAAGAAAGTAAAAGAAAGTGACAGCAATGTCGCCACTGGCTTCTATTCTGACTCATATCTGATAACGTCTCTAGCCACTGTGTTGCATCATCGATAGGATCTCAACCAGAGAGTTTTGAAGGACCAACAGAAGCCAGTCCCGTACAGCTTTCTTTCATACCACAACACCATGTCATACACTGACCACCTCCGCTTTTTCCAACCAGTCCCAACGTAGGCAAATAATGCACAACGAGGAATTATCCGGAATGTCGTTCGTAGAACATGTCCAAGCCATCGAAGTCTATGTTTCAAGATAGTGACATCAATTGAATCATCGTCTCTGCACACGAACACACGATGGCGAACTCCCGCATTACTAACATGGTATTGCCACTGGATGTCAGCAATCGTTCGGAGAAAACGATGATCAAACACAGAGTTGTCTACATTCTCAATCCGGAGAGGACAGGTTTCACAAGCATAGAGCAAAATTGTTCTCATCGACGCGTTGTAGATCCGGCCTTTTACAGCCAGACTAACATCACGAAGGCGCCAAAGATGGCTCAGATTGGCATAAGCCGCTCTGGCTTTCACTATACATGCATTGATCTCATCACTCACGCCACCACCAGCACTTATGCAGCTACCTAGATACATGGACTTCTCGTCTACTTCTATCTGCTCACCATCCAGGGTGAGTACAGGATTGGAATCCTGCCAGTCTTGTAGAAGTACTTTGCACTTCGAAGGTGCAAAGCACATACCATACCCACGGATACTGATTGCCAACTGGTTAAGTGTGGATTGCATGCCTTGGTCATTATCGCACAGTAAGACAATATCGTCCGCATACTCAAGGTCGAGAAGTCTTTCTCCAGGCAACAGATCCACACCACCATTACTTACATTCATCAGAGCTGTTTCCAGAATGTCATCGATGGCAAAGTTGTAGAGGAATGGTGAGATTGGGCATCCCTGCCTAACCCCACTACTCGAATGGAACAATGAAGAGAGGTGGTTGTATGCCCTCACTCTACCTGAGGTGTTTTTATATAGGGCTTTTAGGATGTTAATAAACTTCTCAGGCACACCCTTCTTCAATAGACAATCCCAGAGAACAGTCCTGTCCAACGAATCGAAGGCAGCCCTGATGTCAAGAAACACTACGATTGTTGGCCTTTGATAAGTATGGCGATGTTCTAACATTTGGCGGAGGGTGAAGATATGATAAATACAACCTCGACCAGAACGAAACCCAGCCTGCTCCTCGCGAGTCAATCTTTCTCGGGTTTTGAACAACCTACGAAGTATGACGGAAGCCAATAGCTTGGACGCAATCGGAAGTAGACCCCAATAGTTGTTACAGGAACGACGTGAACCCTTTTTAAAGATAGGGACAACTATCGACTCATTCCATGACGTTGGTACACTCTCTAGTTCCCTAACCTTTGAAAACAACGTCGTCAATTCCTTAGTCAAAAAGTCACCACCATCTTTAAAAAGAGCCGGAGGTAAGTCATCCGGGCCAGGTGATTTGTAACGCTTCAAGAGTTGGAGTTCCTTGCTGACTTCCTCCCCGTTTGGTGGATCAGTCGTCACCGGCCATGGAGGGCAGGACAGTCTGACCGATGTTGCCGGAGCAGCAGGCCAGTTGAACTGCCCTTCGAAAAATTCTGCCCATCATCCAAGACGTCGATGGATGTTAATGATTGGCATCTCATCATCCTCGTAGATTGTTCCGCTCACACCAGACTTCTTGCTGCCAGTGGCTCGGATGAGCTGGAAGAGCTTCCGGTAGTTACCAGATGCAGCTGCTGCTTCCAGCTCATTAGCACGCTTCGACCACCAGGCTTCTCGGTCCTTACGCAAGCTTTGCCCATTTTCCTTACGTAACATCCTTCGTTTGTGGTCAAACTCACGGTCACCCGGAGTAGACGGACGGGCTTCAATGAATTGCAAGGAACCAGAAGAAACCCATTGCTTATAAGCGGGACGTTTCGCGAACCCACAACTGACTGTACTTGCCATTTTCATGGCGTCATGCAATTGCAACCAATACTCATCTATACTTTTCGGTGGAGTGGTAGCTAGACTAGAAGTTAGCTACTACTACTACAATATCTGTCGGACGCACTTTCTGGAGAAGAACAGATAGCTGGTGGTAAAACTCATCCTTGATTGCATCCGGACTGCAATCATCCGGAGCATAGGCGGATATGACGAAAAGACATCGTTTCTCACGCCGATTTCTTCTCACTTTGATGGAACTCTTTAATCTAACAGCACATAACCGACTGTTAATGGGAATCCAGTCGATTAGTGCTGCCTCAGCTCTAGCGCTTAGTGCGACACCAACGCCAGCAAGACCAGACGAAGATGCCACAGGGTCTTTGGATAAGCGCACGTAAAACAAGCTTTTCGAAGCCACAGATGGAGAGCGAATTTGTCGTACTTCACCAGAGTCTTGAATACGGGTCTCGGATAGACAGCAAACATCGATATTAAGACTTTCTAAAGACATAGCCAGCCCTATCTGTTGTCCAACCTGCATAAGTGTGCAAACGTTGAAGGCAGCCAGTCTGAATGGTGCACGTGGTTTCAGAAAAACTGCTTCAGTACTCATATTCAGTGATAACATACAATTTTCAACCGGACAGTGACTCGAGAACGTTTAGATACAGTCGAATTTCCAACTAAGACGAGCTGCTGTATAAGTCGAAAAGATAAGTATAGACAGAGTAGGAATAAAAGAGCGTGAATAATGTCGTAGTAAATAATAATAATAATAATAATAATAATAATAATAATAATAATAATAATAATAATAATAGTATTGACAATAATTCGAATCATTTGATTGTTATTCGAAGCGAGAAAGGTAGTCTCCATAGATACAGAGAGTTCATCATTTGTGTGTGGGCTGTGATACTGCCTGTGTGCCCATACCAAAGCAGGTGGTTCTCTTAGGGGACCACACCCCGAGCCTTTGACCCATATGTCTAACCCACAAGGCAGTGGAGCATCGTAAGGAGATGCAATCCCATGGAAGCCGGTGACCAACAATTGGTTCATACGCCATTTGTTCCCGCAGGATACTGGATCCCATGTGCACCTTTGGTTTGGAATCCGGTTAAAGGGCCGAACATTCGCTTTTCGTCGTGTCAATTTGGTAAACAACACCGGTGTTGCGAAAAATCAGTGAGTAGGACTTCCCTGGCAGAGGCTGTATATCCGTGGCCATGTGAGAGTATTTCGAGAGGGGGGAGGACCCATCCCGCTTGCGGTCATACCAGGGCACTTGGGGGCTACTTTACGTTTACCGACATATTGGCACACGGAAAAAAATTGTGAAGTTGTGATTTACTACTGCTTAAAGACTTGAGTAATAATTTCATAGATCAAGTAACTTGATATATAAAAAGTACTGTACCTGTTTATTAATTGATGATAACCTTAACCCTGGCTACTTTGGACGGGTAAAACGGTGAAAATTGAACTGATTTTTACATATTCATAGATTATAAAATCAGTTAAGTATCTGTGATATTGTTTTGTTCTGTGAAGAAGATAGTTTAACTGTGTATGTTTCATTACCTTTCTGGTCAATATCATCATGGTAGAAGAAGGGGTTGTACCAGTCTATTTTGTACACATAATTCTGGTTTTTCAAAATGTATGGCTATTACCTCGGCAATGCAAAGAAGATGCAGTCTAATTGTTTTTGGGAGACTTCTACTTATCTTGTAGATGACTTTGAACGCAGAGTCTGTCTTGATTGAGTGACCTGTGTTCACAAGGTGTTCGATTATAGAACTTCTTATTGAGCCGTTGCCTCTTCTTTTTACGAAGAATCTGTAGCCCCGAGGTCGTAGAGGAAGAATTGAGCCTTTTAAAAGAGATTCTTATCAAAAACGGATATCCTCCTACATTCGTTGATAAGAACATGAAGCCAAAAATGCCAAAACCACAAACAATTACAGTAGAAAAGAAAATTTTATACATGAACATCGACTTCAAAGGTGACAGAGCCGCATATATCTTAAAGAGGAGAATTTCAGATTCTTTAAAAAGAACGTTCTTCGCAGCAATATTGCGAATATCATTTTCCAGCCGATCACTGTTCACCAATAATCTGAAAGATAAATCATCGCATCTGACCAACTCAATGTGTATTTACCAATTTACCCGCTCTTGTTCAGCTAGGTATATAGGTCGTTCGATGCGTACTTTATTCAAAAAAATTCAAGAACATTGTTCGGCGTGGCTAAAAATAGGAGACAACGGCTCAATAAGAAGTTCTATAATCGAACACCTTGTGAACACAGGTCACTCAATCAAGACAGACTCTGCGTTCAAAGTCATCTACAAGATAAGTAGAAGTCTCCCAAAAACAATTAGACTGCATCTTCTTTGCATTGCCGAGGCAATAGCCATATATTTTGAAAAACCAGAATTATGTGTACAAAAGAGACTGGTACAACCTCTTCTTCTACCATGGTCTTAATGTATTAAAATTTTTCTCTTTCTTCATACTCTTGTTCCCTTACAGCCAACTGCTTCACCTTCCATCTTCCCTTTAAATATTCTATCCCCAACCAGTTTGTTTTTATTTCCACGATCATTCCGATTACATTTCATCTCTGTTTCAACATTTTATTTTATCATACTGAGCCATCCTTACCCGATGAATATCTAAGCCATTAACTATCAAACGATTATTAAACTTTCCTTGTTTTATAAAATTTTTTTTCTAAATACCTTTGTTTATTTAACCTCACTGTCACCATGTATAACAGAAGTTTATTATCAGTATTATTATCACCCTGTAAAAATAAGTCTATATATTTGCGATTGTACAGCTTTGAAAGTAAATTCGCCGAAAAGAGAACTCTTCGCTGAACTAATCTTTCTTTCTTATTTAATGTCATAATGGGTGAATTCTCTTAATCAAGTCACAGTGTCGCCGCTTGTCTTAGTGAATCGAAATCGCATGATTGACTATGGTCAACAAGAAACCTTGAACTCAATTTCTCTGCTAGTCAGCATCCATCATCAACGTGTATCTGCGATTATGAGGAAACTGATGTTTATTGTATGGTTTGAACCGGCGTCATCAAACTTCACAATCTTAGACGTTACTAGTGAGTTATTTAATTGCGACTGATCTTCTGTAGGTCTGGGATGTTTACTAATGAGCAGACAATAGGTGATAATCACTGTTATTTTTGTTTAATCGTTTCTAGCGCTAATCTATCACATCTGACTACTTCTAAATTACTTAACAGGATTAGTGTTAATACGAGATTCTGGGTTCTACGTTAATTAATTAATTAATTGGTTTAGTAGGTTAGATAAAACAGTACAAAATATATCTCATCATAATTTGATTGATTTATTTCGTTTTATTGATTCTATCAGTGATAATACTTTGCTAGTGTCAATTATTTTCTTGTTTTTTTTGTTGTTGCTTATTTCAGAGACGTTAAATAAAACATTAGCTGACTTTAAATTAACACATGGAACTTGTTTACAATGTGATGATTTTCGTCAAGATTTTACCATTCAACTTATTTTATCATGTATTAGTGTAGAATTGGCTAATGCATTACCTACTAATTCTGATTTATCAACATCAACGTCAACATTAAATCTTAATATCGATAGTCGTTTAACAGAACAATTTAATAATGAAGAACAACAATCTGAAACATGGAGAATTGTAGGTGATATAAATTCCATTTTGTCAAATTCAAGAGATAATACAATATCAGAAAAGAATACTGAAAAAGAGAACAATGAAAATACAGGTATTAAGAGAACATATTTATATATATATTTGGATAAGTATTTGGAAATTTGTTAGGTTATCTTAATGATTTGTGTTTGTCGTTTAAGCAAATAGTAAGATAACATAAATCATTAATTACAGTTGAGCTAACAAGTAGCATGAGACGTTAAAAATGGTATTGTGATCACATACACACACACACACATACAACATATTGTAACCGCTGCAATCAATGACGATGTCTTCAACTAATTTATCATTGTTTCCTAAATGATTGTTACCCAGTACTAAATATTTTCATTCTTGATTTGTTAGTTGGACAGTTTTACTCAGTGTTATCATATTTCAAATTCATTATGAATGGTACTTTATGAAAGGGTTTATAAAATGGTGTACACAGCAATGTAAATATGCTACTTGTATAGTTAATTTCGAAAATTGTCTAGTGTATGATACTGTTGTGACTTAAAGTTCGGTTAGTTATCACGTGATTTATTCACCAATCGAAATACGACTTATTCAATTTCAGTGCCATTATTATTATTTATTATTTGAACACATAGGTATTGGTACAAGGAGGCACCAAATACATATGCGCCACACAGATCTCATTTGATATGTGTGAGGGCTGTGATGTTGTTCGGATGCCCAAACCGAAGCATGTGGTGTTCTTATGGGGCCACACCCGGAGCCTTCGACCTAAAGGTCTGATCCACAAGGCAGTGGTGCAACGTAAGGAGATGCAGTCTCATGGTAGCCAGTGGCCAAAAATTGGTTCATGCGCCATCTGTTCCTTCAGGATCCAAGGGTCCACATGTACTACTGGCCTAGAATTATGGTTTTTCAACTTCCCGAGGTGGGCTCTCCATGTCCACCAACCCGGTTAGAGGGCCACATGTTCGTTTTTCGTCCTCTCAATTTTGTAAACAACACTCCCGTCACGAGAAGTCAGTGAGTAGGAGTTCCCTGGCAGAGGCTGTATACGCGTGGCCATGTGAGAGCATTTGGAGAGGGAGAGTGGACTCTCCTCGCTCTCGGCTGTACTAGGGCATTTGGGGGAAACTCAGTGCCAAACGATGACGTTCGACCGGTATGAGTAGTTTATTGTTCTTATTAGTCCTTTGTTCGCCTAGCCCGTCCAGTGCGGTCCAGAAACTCCAACAACAGCCTTAACTATGCGAATAAGTTATTTCAATCATACTTGTTTTATGTACCAACCAAACAGACCACATCACACCATAAAATAAGAAATAACATTTATACATGATCAGGCTAGAAAGTGGCTGTGAACGTGGGAGACTGTAATCAATAAACTGAATATAACTTAAGAACAGTAAGTCGTTTAATAATAATCTATAGGTCAAAATGAAGCTTATAATAAGAGGAATATAGATATACCTAATCTGGTTACTGAACGGTTATACAACAAAAATATTAGTCTATTAATAGTTATTGGAAGTTGCTCGTAATTTAATCTTCACTAGGATATAACAGATCCAAGCCGCACAAACCGCTCTTAATCAGTTGGTAACTGTTGTCTGTATTTTTGGAACATACTTTATTACGTCAAAGTGTAAAGTACTTTTAGAACACTGATAGCAACCCTTACCCTAAATACTTTTCGTTTTGTCACGACTTGGCCTAGTCACAAAATATTAGTTTCGCAACGTGTTTGTGCGCGCAGTCCTGGTTTGTGCCTCCAAAACCTGACCTCTACGAGCTTAAAATACTCGATAATTATATTTTCGGACATCATAATCTTCGGAAGATCACTTATATTTAATAACTACACTATGTTAGTAATGCCTAACTCCGGCAATGCAGAATCGTGCATAATGAAAATCTGAATTCCATTATTATTACCGTACCTAAAAAGCCGACTCTGTTGAGTTGGAAATGTATAAATCTTGTCAATAATTTGTATTTTCGATGTCCAATCTTTTCTATTACCACTAATACTGTTACTACCTCTACAACTCCAGGAATTTGTTTAACAATCACATCTCTCTGTGATAATGGAGTATGGGAACTTATACCGATGTACAAACGTAGCTGGTTCTACATTCTGTTTGACTTACTGATACTTGTTGTCTCAGCGGCTTCTAACGTGAATATTATCTATAAATATTTAGTGAATTGGCTTGCAAGTACATGTCCCATGACATGCCACCGTGTAATAGGAGGGTTACAGTGAATTTAATTAGCCTATTAGATAAATAGATGATCTTATCATCTAAGAGTTTTAGATGGTTTACTCGCCTAAGTAATTAACATATTGGTATCAAATAAACCAACAGGCTCAAATCATTTTTCCACATTTAGTTTCCTTAGGATTTTTGAGACAATCTATAGGATTATTAGTTTGAAATTACAATATATCAGCTAACCTAAGTGAACTCTCCATATCAACAGCTTTCACTGTTTAGTTTATATAAAAATACTCTCAACACATAGTTCTACTTGCAGTAGGACTTTCTTAAAATTTTCTGTAAACATGACTAATACACAGGCATTAATCTACATTCTCAATTGCATCATTTTAAGGAGTTCTTCATGTCCCTTTCTTTTTTCTCTTTCCAAATTTATTTCATTGGATTATACTCCTTGGAAAGCATCTTCAAACTCTAATCTTTTCGATTAATGCTTATACTATTACTACTTCTACTACTATGGGATTTGAATTAACAATTGCGTTTCTATGCTAATGTGGTATGGCAACTCGAACTGATGTACGTACGTTTGAAGTTCTACGTTGTTACTGACTGACTGACTAATTTTAAGGAGTATGAGATCGATCTCAAAGCGTCCATCTAAAATGTTTTTATCTAGATATTCTAATTTATTTTTTCTCTTTTATTCTTCTTCTATTTCCCTTAGATAAATTTGTTCACAACAATAATGATGATACAGAGGATGATTTAATTGAAATTACTGAAGAGTCTATGACTTCTTTAAATCAAGATTTGGATAATAGTGTTAATAATAATACCAGTATTAATAGTAATAGTAATAAACGTAAATTTCTCGATACAATCACTTGTGATGATCAAGACAATATGAATAGAATCAAAGAGAAGAAATTACGATTTGATAAAGAATTAACAACACTATCATCACCTATTATTGTACCAGTTGCTGACGACGATGATGATGATGATGATTTAATCATTATTGAATGAATAAATGATTGAGATATATCTATATTATAATAGTTATATGGTTATATGCTTATATATATCATGGATCTTTGTATGTATTTGTGTGAGTATATGTATTGTTCCTTCATATTCTGTTCTGTAAAAGGTAACCATTTTGTAAAAAGGTTACATGGTTTGTGTTTTGTTTGTTTCGCTCTCTCCCTGTCTCTCTCACGATGTTTCATTTACATTTCATCTTTTCTACTGAAAAAAAAACCGTACTAGATTGATCATCCCTTTCTCCCCTGTATGTTTTTGTGTGTATATGTCTAAGTTGTTCATTAAATAGCCTATTAACTAACCGGTCATCAATTTTATTTTGTTATAAACTATTATTTAATATTATTCTAAATATGTTTCTACTTTTGTACCATTCAATATACATGGATAATACAAATAGTCTACTATGAAATAGATTTCTTTTTAAGTTACGGTTGTTTGTTTGTTGTTGTTTTTTCATTGTTTTACGAGTTTGTTCCTGTATCATTGTATCACATGACTCTTTAAAAGGGTACATTATTATATCTGTGAGGAAAGAAAAGTGCTTATTGTCTGTATGTTTATGATTGGCGTTGAAGTAGATTGCCAGAAAGTTATGTTGACTAAACGTAGGAATAGTGTTAGTCGATGAAGTTACTGACTATTAAACTAATCTATGTAAGGAGGTATATACTATTTGGTTGCTGTTTGTGTAATAACCGCACTTCTGCTATTTTTCGCTAGCGTTATACACTGAGTCATTCAGACGTTTGCCGTTCTGTTACGTATACTTAAACCTTCAAGTGAGCCATATTAAGGTTAAACTCATAGCAATAGATAAAGATAAGAAATCGGTTGATGAGGTAGTGAATCTTCATAAATTGAGATGGTTGACGCGTGTATCATAGTCTACCCAGCCACTTCTTACCTCGTTGTGCAATGCTTCTTGCTGTAGGAGTAGGTTGAATGAAAGCTAGGGGCGGCTAAACTAACAAATGGTATCAGTCTTTGAGTTGATTTTCACCTTTCACTCACCGTATTATAATTAGGAATCAAAATTAACGGCGTACTTTAAGAAGTTATAATGGTCAGTGGTGAATTGTAATATTGAAGTAGATTAAGATCTCCGACGGAAATTTTGGAGATATAGCCTATTCAGAATATTAAGTGGTTTAGCATAATTTAGAACTTAACAATTACAGGTTTTTAGCTACAATCTATTTGTGGACTATTGATAGAGCGTAAGTACTAGAACATCTAATCTACAATGCTTAAATTTGAATAGATAGGATCTGTTTATTCCCGAGATTACAGATGCTTATAATAGTCTTGGCACCATCGTTTGAGTGGGCAGTTTATTTCTCCTCTGTTCTGATTATACAGTCTCTACTGTAACCAGTATTATTAGGTATGGAAACAGTTCGCCTCTAACTATTCATTATCAAGTAGATTAACTTCTAGTGTGATGTGTTAGTGGAATCCAGGTTGTGCGTTCTGTTGTATTTGGGATTAGTTAGCTGAATGTATTTACATCCTAGTATTCATGTTCATGATTGAACTCGAATTCGGCATGTTTGGTTTCGAACGCCGAATGGATTATACACTGAACAATTGAGTTCCAATTAAAATTGATCAACATTTTGTTAAGAATATCAACAACGAGATAACTCAATTCCTTACAGATTAAATTCAGTAGATAAATAATTTGTAATGACTTTTTTTTATTTCAATGTTAACCATTTATACAATGATTGTTATGTTTTATTGTACAATAATCATAGTTTCTTGTAAATAGTGTTTGTAAAATCCTCTATGTACTCTTGAATCACTTCAGATGATAATCTACATTATCTAACTTATTTACATAGTACAGATACACATAATTGGCTTCAAGTTATACTCTAAATGTATAGACTGCTGATATTCATTCAGTCACTCAAAACAAGATGACTGAAGTGGGGTTTTTAAATCTTCGACTTATTAGCTAAAAGTCGATTGCCTTAATCATCAATCCATTGCTCGTTAAGTGTTGAATAATTTACTATTCACTATAGTGTTATATCCGAGCGAAGATTATATCACGAGTAACTTCTGAGACATATTAATTGATTAATATTATCTACATTCTTATGGTATGACTATTCAATAATTAGATTATGTATATTTATATTCCCCTTATTATAAGCTTCATTTTGACCTATAAATTATTATTAAACGACTTACTGTTCTTAAGTTATATTCAGTTTATTGATTACAGTCTCTCACGTTCACAGCCACTTTCTAGCCTGATCATGTATAAATGTTATTTCTTATTTTATGGTGTGTTGCGGTCTGTTTGGTTGATATATAAACCCAGTATGTCTGAAATAAATGATTCGATTCGCATAGTGGAAGCTGGTATTGGTGTTGTGGACTCAAGTGGACGGGCTAGGCGGACATAGGACCAATAAGGACGCTAGGCTGTTCATACCGGTCGAACGTCATTGATTTGGCACAGTGCTAGGATTGTGTAGGTCGTATTTTGATTGGTGGATAAATCACGTGGTAAAAAAGTCGGACATAAAGTCATAACATATAGGTTTTCTTTTAAGAAAAGAACTTCTGTTTATTTCTTTTTGATAAACTAATTAATATCATTAGCTGTTGGAAGCTCACAATATGAATTTACTGAAGAACATATTAACTTTTTAAGCAAAGATGAATCATGGCTAGCAGTTGAATCCACGACACGCGTTTCTTTGCTTAAAAAGCTTGTGACTTTGGGCTATATCGAGGCAAACCGCATAGGATTGCAAATATGCCAACATGAGACTGATCAATTACATTCCTAAATAACAGTGGGAAGATACAAGTAAAACAACACCGAGTGAATTTAAACCTCACCCCATTGCACAAACAGGTGGCTGTCAGGACTCAGTAACTAAGTTGATAACGCGATGGCGTCTGAAGCGAACAGTATTCGGCTCGAGTCTTGGAGTGAACATCATCTCTGGGATGCAGGTGCATCCAGCTGACGAATCCCCAATAGAACGAAACGCATGTCCTGGATTCCACTGCTAGCCACTATCCATCTTTGCTTTAAAAGCAATTTGCATATATGCCAACAAGAGACTGATCGATTGCAGTCCTAATTAGCAATTGGAAGATACAAATAAAACAACACCAAGTGAAGTTATGTCAACTTCTTGTTAACTATACGGTATTTCACTCTTCCTCAATTCATTTCAAGCATTATTGATAATGATAAATATAACTTGATAAAAAACGATGTATAAGAAACCTACTTTTTATTTTGTATTGAATGGATGAAAGGCTAATCATTTTGGAAAGAAACTTCCACCATTCTCTTCATCATCATCATCATCATCATTGGAATTCAATAAAATTTTACAAAAATCTAAAGGTTTTGCTAATGTATTAACCGATACATATTTGGATCAATTAGTTGATAAAATTTTATCAATTCGTCAAGAATATCCAAATTTATTAAATAATGATAAATCATTGGAAACAATTCAATCAGCTCATGATAAAGTAGAAGAAACACTTGAAAAAATTCATCATATACTTCATAAACATTATGAAGAATATGAAAATAAAGAAAATCATTTGAATATCCCAATTGATGCATCAAGTACACATACTATTGATGTAAGTATAAAACGGTACTTACTTTCTGTTTAGCGTTTTTTTTAGCGGGTTAGTTTTCTACCGGATGGGATCGCTAACACTCCATGTTCAACCCTCCTCCTTTATCCGGGCTTGGGACCGGTAGTAGCTCCAGATGAGCTCCAGGCGGAGTTAAGTGTACATGAGTGATTATTATTAATTTTATAGTCAATATGATTAATTAACTTTTTTCAAAGTAACGATTAAAATCTAGGAAATACTGAATATCTATCTCGTTTCAATATGGGAGTACTCAGCAATGTGCATCCATGATCTCCATGTGGATCTAACCCCGGGTTCTTCCTAAATTTCATTGACTGTTTAAATCATATCAATCCGCGATGTTATCTAAAAAAATTCGATGATCTCCGCAAACCCTCGTGTCATCGCTTAAATTTTGGGTGTAATAGTTTGCGTTACTACTACTTAATAGTCTAAATTATAGTAAGTGGGACGGAGGTTTGAACCTATGACTCAAAGGATGAAAATTCAACTGTTTTACTCTCTAAGCTGTTATTTCAAGTTCATTTCAAATGAAATGTCCAGTGTTGGGAAGAACGACAATGAAAACTCAATTAAATCATTGAGCTTGGAGTATACAGTAAAACCAAATACATCCCACTTGAGTTAAAACTCCTATCTATCATTTCAACTTAAAAGTTAAATGTTTTGGTTGTATTGTGTTGTATGAACTAGATAATATATCAGTCTAAACAACATAATTGACCTGAACTTCATATAGAATTGTCTATACCCATGTTCTAAGTAACCCACTATGCGAATGAAGAAGCTAAACCAATTCAGATAGTTTAGTAGCAAGACCAAATCATAATGTATATAAACCATGTTTATTCATACTACTCGCTTTCTTTCTGACTCAGACAAGGATAGGTAGACTGAGTCTTGAATAGGTACATGGTCTACTTACTTACTTCGTTTATAATTTCTCGCCTACCGTTCGATCTTGAGATGAAGTAATATAAACATATGCACATCCTATATGTTTACACTCGTAGCCTATGTAAACAAAAAAAAGACATCAACCTTTCATCACTTTCATGAGTACATTATGTAGAGTTATAACTTCGTTCCTCATCTATTCATATTGTAGTGAACAGAACACGGATGGGGACAATCGAATGTAATATGCACAAAATTACAGGACTTGTTAACAAAATGCAACAACCAAATAGTAAATATATAATTTGCAAAATATCCATCGATTGTCTCAAAATGATTCAGAATTCATTGTTCTTGCATTTTCATACAAATTGCATTTTGTTTTCCATTCTTTACTGTTCGTTTATCTTGTCTCTTTGCTGCCAGACTTTCTGTTCACGACTAACATCATATACTACTTAATTCAATATAAGTAGCACACACCGCAGTATCTCATTTCATTAATTACAATTTATTTATTCACTTACACTTTATCCTCTATATTCAATTACATATATGTAAGTTATTCGTTTTTATTATTTTTTCTTTTTTTCTTTCTTTCTCTTTTTTCTCTTTACACTAATTAGATCGATAGAATGAAAGAATCATCTAAGAAGATTCAACAATTCCATGAAAAATTATCTCAATTAATACCAGTCTATATGAACTTGAAACTACAATCTTATCAATCATTGAATAATGAAAATATTGAACAAGATACTACTACCACTACCGCTACTACTCAATCTTTTGAAAACATCCATCAAGCTGTGAATAATTTAAAAAGATTATTATTAGCTAATGAAAAATTAGAAAATGGTTTACAACGTATATCACAAGTAACTATATAATTGTTTTATATTGTTGTCTTTTGTCATCACTATAGTGGTCTAGTGGTTAAGCACTCCAGTGCGAGACTGATAGGTCCTAGATTCGAATCTCATGAGGTGGGGTCGTCGATGCACATTGCTGAAGAGTCCCTTACTAGGATGATGAAACAGTCATCCAATGCTTCGAGGTTTTCCATGATGGTCTAGCTTTAATTGACTCGTGATTTCAACTATTGAATTTATTATAATTTCCAAAATAACCCTTCTGATATGAATCACTACAAATGTTTATCAATCAAATTTGTTACAGTTTAATGCACTCACAACCTTATGAAATGAATTAATAGAATTAAAATCAAATAACTCTAAATGATAATATCAGTAGGGGATGGAAAATAAGTCAGTTGGGTGGGATATCATGGAGGATAACCAAGAAGCAAGTGAATGATCGTGTTGTGTGAATGCAGGACTATTCAACACTGGACACTGATTACACTCCCAGAAATTCAAATTAAGAATTTTAGGTTTCGTATATGTTCAGTGCTTTCTAGTTTTCAATAGCACGCCAGTTTTGACCGATTCCTGAAGAATGGTTGGCAACTTTTTTTAGCCAGTTAGTTTTCTAAGGAATGGGTTCGTTAACCCTATACACAACCCTCCTCTTTTATCCGGGATTGGGACTGGCAGTAGCCTCAGAGGGGCTCCAGGCGGGGCGGTTCGTGCGGAATGCTACTTGCATATAAAATAACCTTATTTGTATTGGTTGTTTGAATCTTCCTATTGATATTCAGGACCACAATTGATTAGTCTCTTTTTGGCACATGTGCGTACTGTGCAGATTGCCTCGATATTGCTTTAAGCCACAAGCATTATAAGCGCCACATAAATCATTCGGTTTGTGTGAGTGTTAGGATACTGCCCGAGTGCCCAAACCGAAGCAACTGGGGCTACACCCCGAACCTTTGACCTATATGTCTAATCTACAAGGCAGTGGAGCGATGTAAGGAGATGCAGTCCCATGGTAGCCGGTGATCAACAATTGGTTCATACGCCATTTGTTCCTTCAGGATACTGGAGCACATGTGCACCATTGGTTTGGAATTGTGGTTTTCCAACTCCCCTAGGTGTGTCCCTAGTACTGTCCACCAACCCGGTTAAAGGGCCGGACATTCGCTTTTCGTCTTCTCAATTTCGTAAACAACACCGGTGTTGCGAGAAGTCAGTGAGTAGGTCTTCCCTGTCAGTTGTTGTATAAGCGTATCCATGTGAGAGCACTTGGAGATGGAGAGCTGAATCTGAATAGGTTCAATTTATAGCTGTAAATGAATTTTGTTTATATTCAAATTTTTTGATATCGTTTGTCAATTTTCTATTATAAAATTTTTTTATTATCATTTTCAGTATACATCGTTATTGCCGGATTTATCAGAAAACTTGACTATTCCAATCTTAGGTGAAATTCTGTCATCGAACCAGTGTCCGTCATCAACATCATCATCAGCACCAAGAACAACAACAACAACCACATCATTCTCGTTAACATCATCATCATGTCCTGATGATCAATTGTTGTCATCATTTCATCCTTGTTCGTAAAATGAAATCTTAACGAGATCGGCATTTATTATTTCCGTTACATCATTTTTTCATAAGATGGAATAGTAACTATTATTTTTTTGTATAAATTTTTTTTTTAAAAATCTTGTTTTTTGTGAATTAGTTTTTATTCATTTAAATTAGTAACTAAGAGATTATTTTGTTTATTTAAAGCAAAATTTCTTATTTCTACGTTCTTACCCCGTATGTATGTGAATTTCTTGTACATTTGATGATGTTTCACAGGTTGAAATCATGAGTCAGTTGAAGCTAGACCACCATTGAAAACCTGGAAGCACTGGACGACCGTTTCGTCCTGGTATGGGACTCCTCAGCAATGCGCATCCATGATCCTGTACCACGAAACGGCCGTCCAGTGCTTCCAGGTTTTCAATGGTAGTCTAGCTTCAACTGACTCATGATTACAACCTGTGAAATTTCTAAAATTCTCCACAAAACCCATTCTGATATAGTTTATTGAAATGAGGCATGAAATGATAGTGTGTATGTGAAAGAAAAAGAATATAAGTAACTTCGGTTATCACAAAATAATCCATGTATTATGATAGAAATTATCTTTGAATGATCAATACTACTGTATTGTGAATTGATTGAAGTTAGACATAAACACTATTGGATGTCAGTTTAGTTGTCTAGAGGTTAAGCGTTCGTATGCGAGACTGATAGGTCCTGGATTCGAATCTCGCGGGGCGGGATCATAGATGCGCATTGCTGAGGAGTCCCTTACTAGGATGATGAAACGGTTGTCCAATGCTTCGAGGTTTTCCATGATGGTCTAGCTTCTATTGACTCATGAATTCAATAATTAAGTTACTACTGTATCAATCAATGCATAAAGTTATTGATTGTTAGTGTGAGCTATTCGAAGTTTATAAAATTCATTGCTGACAAGTTCTAAATAGGACGAAACCGTCGTCTTATATTCCATTGTTAATTGCTACATAATTTTGCTGAAATATGTATTTCTTATGTTTAAATTCCTGGTGTTAAAATTAATTCCTGTTTTTTGCTTCTCATTTTTCTAACTTCCGCTTTTTCTGTGCTGATTTGAAGTGTACCAATTTCAACCAATACATATTTCAGATCTTACATTGACTGTGACTTATTGTTGAATATAAAAAAACTCCTCAATAATCACAGTGTTGAAACCAATCACTTTCAATATCATATGGAATGTAGTAATAAGCATTCGAACAAAACAATCGATAATTGAAATTACAGTCCTACGATAATTTGGTTTTCGGTAATTCAGTCTTATGTAAGGGGTTGTTATTTTCTAGTATGTAAAAAAAACTGTATTATTTCCATCATAGACGGTTTGTTTCAATTATTATCATTGTATTCAAATAGACATTCACGTGTTATTTGATTTTGCTTTAAAAATATCTCAATATATGTGGTATACACATACACTGTAGTAGATAGTATTATTTATTTATTTCAACATATAAATATTGGTACAAAGGGTCACTGAATACATATGCACCTCACAAGTCACTTGATTTGTGCGTGGCCTATAATACTGTCCGGGTGCCCAAACTAAAGCAGATGGTTCTCTTAGAAGGCCACTTTCCAAGCCTTTGACCTAAGTGTCTAATCTACAAAGCAGTGGAGCAATGTAAGGAGATGCGGTCCCATGGTAGCCTGTGACTAACGATTGGTTCATACGCCATTACTTTCCTTAGGAACCTGAAGCCTATGTGCAAAATTGGTTTGGAATTGTGGGTTTTTTTAACTCCCCTAGGTGAGCCCTCTGTGTCCACTAACTGGGCTAAAGGGCCGGGCATCCGCTTTTCGTCGTGTCATTTAGGTAAACAGCACCGTTGTTGCGAGACGTCAGTGAGTAGGACTTCCCTGACAATGTCTGTATACGCGTGTCCATGTGAGAGCATTTGGAGAGGGAGAACTAACTCCCCACACCCTCGGTTGTACCAGGGGTGTTGATAGTGTTGTTTTTTATTTCATTTATAATTAGATTGATTGATTAATTAATTACATTATTACCTACTGTGTTCATTTATGTATAGTGTATACTAACTTCAAATTGTTATTATTTTTGAAATAATCATAAATCATTCCTGTATGTTTACATGTACATGTGGTGATTGTTTAATTGAATGACAAAGTGTAATAAGTTATCTTTAATAAATCATTTAATGTGATTATTTGTTTGTTTGTTTTTTTCTTTCGTATTCGTTCTTGAAATGTAAGTCATTGAGAGTGAAAGGTAAATGAGTTCTTTTGTGTTTGTTGATCAATAATAATTTCGAATCATTTCTACTTATCACAGATTGAAATCATGAGTCAGTTGAATTTAGACCACCATTGAAAACCTAGAAGCACTGGACGGCCATTTCGTTCTAGTATGTGACTCCTCAGCAGTGCGCATCCACGATCCCGCACCACGCGGGGCTCGAACCCAGGACCTACTGGCTTCGCGCTCGAGCACTTAACCATTAGACCACTGAGCCGGCATCCAACGGTGTTAATGTCTAACTTCAACCAATCCACGAAGTTGCGCCACCATATACCATTGTCTTCAGTGAGCTGATATCTCACAACAGACCTGGTTGAACTTTACTGGTAACGGCTTCCCACTAGAACTCCAGGAGTACCTCTTGAAGTCAGTCACTAGTGAGCAGATGATTATTATCAGAAGGGGTTTGTGGACGAAACGGCCATCCAGTGCTTCCAGGTTTTCAATGGTGGGCTAGCTTCAACTGACTCATGATTTCAATCTGTGAAAATTTCTAAAAATCTCCACAAACCCCTTCTGATATTTCTACTTATGTTGATTGTTTGTATCATTTGCTGATAACAGTTGAAGAAGTATTGACAGTGTTCAGAAATCAGTGGACAGTTGTTTCGTCTTAATCTATTTGAAGTGAGTGTTTCTGCAGAATATATCTATGACATCATCAAGAATCAAAAAGGTAATCTTTAGATGTTGCAGCAGGCACATTACTTTCAGACTAACCTAGAACTTTAGTCAATTTATAATGTGATTCGATAATCACTTTATTCCATCAGTTGGTAACGGTCTACTTTGTGAAATGTACTCCTAATTGGAACTATATGGAATCATTTTAAAGCAGGTCGTTGAAATTGTTGCAGAGTTATTTTCTAGAAATAAACATCTACTTAGTGATTTTTTGGTTGTTTGTACCTTTTGTTTATTCATTTGAAAAGAATATGAATAACGATGTAATCAAACTAATCTGATAATACAAGTTTTTATCAACTGCTTCTTACGAAAGTGTTGAATATGATTGTGAAGTTGATGTGAATACATATTAACACATAGTGTTAGTGTAAGATTTATACCTCATGAGGAAGATTTTGATGGAGCTGGTTTGTTTAACCTTGGCTTTTATCGTCTTTCTAGTCAACATTATCAGTATAGAAATCTGTTTGGATTTCAGGTTATTTTTTGTTAATTGATCAGCTATTGGAATCTTTTGAATATACAGAGTGATCGATTGACAAAAAATATTTTGTCAATCAACTAGCTAATCTGCTTAAATATCTGATCTACTTGTTCCTGCTATCTAGATATTTCAACAAATGATCTATTTCCTTGTTTGTTTCAAAATATCATTATATCAATTAATTACATAACCTATTCAAATGAATTAATGAAAAGTTCACAACCTTTCACTATAGAAGTTACGAAAGAGCCCAATCACAGACATTGTGGTTATTGGCAATGTACATCGAAAAGAATATAAATTAATCAGATGTCAATTCCTTAACTGTTAACATCTAACTGGCGACTACTCAATGTTTATTGCAAGGATAGATCAAGAAATAAGGAAATGAAACTTGTTGAAACACTTTATGCTGAGAATTCCATATTGTACTAAAAATAAAATATTGAATAAAGCTAATAATAATTGACTCATGATCTCAACTATTAAGATTACTAGAATATCCACAAAAATCCCTTCTGATATTAATCAACATATGCTCACTAGTGACTGGCTTCAATAGATATATCCTGGAGTTCAAGTGAGAAGCAGTGACCAGTGGAGTTCAACTGGGTTTGTTGTGAGATAGTAACTCACCGATGACAATGATAGATGTGTCACTTAATTTCGTGGATTAGTTGAAGTTATACAATAATACTATTGGGTGCTGGCTCAGTGGTCTAGTAGTTAAATGCTTACATGCGAGACTAATAGGTCCTGGGTTCGAATCTCGCGAGTCAGAGTCGTTGATGCGCATTGCTGAGGAGTCTCAATGCTTCGAGGTTTTCCATGATGGTCTAGTTTCAATCGACTCATGATCTCACCTATTAAAATTACTATAATCTCTATAAAAACCCCTTCTGATAATAATCATTTGAACTTTTTTCTCGTCATATTATCTCCACAATATGATTTTACTGAGTTCTTTCAAGCTAATCATATCCCATTTCAATGTATCAATTAGTATCTCAGATCCATTTCAATACTATTCTTCAATTAGAATAATGATGGTAATAATTATACTTTGCGGGTTATTTTTTTTGTAAAAATCTTTAGATCATAGTGTTCAATATGTCAATGAAACAATTAACATTGGCAATATTGAAACCAGATGTTCAACGTTTTATAAATTATCGTAAAGTAAGTTCATTTATAGATTTTTTTCTTTGAGCAAGGTTATTTTTAAAGGAGATGGGGTTGCCGATCCCATACCCTCAACCCTCTTATATTATACGGACTTGAGACCGGTAATAACCCTAGAAGTGTTACAGACGGAATTGTTTTATTTCATACTGAGTGTTAATCCATCATTTAAACAACACTTATATTTTTATTTACAGACATTGTAATTTTAATTGTTTTTCATATGAATTTACACATATTTGACTGGATTTGTGTTACTCATATGTTGATCATATAAGAATTCTCTATTCTGACCAGAAATGGGGTTTTTGTGGAGATTGTTGTAATTTTAGTAGTTAGTCTTGCGTGCAAGATCGCGGACGCTCATTGTTGGGGAGTGCCATACTAGAACGAAACGGCAATCCAATAATTCCAGGTTCTCTATGGCGGTCTAGCTTACATCGACTCATGAATTCAGCTATTAAAATTCTGTATTCTGTCATAAAAATCTAAGATAATCTAATGATTACATCATCGTTTCATTGCTAGAGATAGAATTGGATCCAACTGTAGGAATTGAAAAACAGTTCACCCTTAGTAATTCGTCCTTTGCTGAGATGTAGGAAAATAGGGGAACAATATTTGTCGTTTGATTATGAGAAATAACTACCTAGAATTAATGCATCTATTTATGCACACTTTAGACACCCTAACATTATAA